ATATATATATATATATATATATATATATATATATATATATATATATATATATATATATATATATATCTTTGTAGTTTAGATGAATTCAAAATTATAATTTAGTAAAACAATATTACATTATTTAAATTTTTAATAAACTACAAAATTTGAAAACTAATCAAATAAGTATTACAGTAGAAAGGAATGTACGAAAAGAGGGGGATGGAGATAATGTTATGATATTTACATTTTGAAATAATTAAAAAATAAAAGATAAATAAATAACACTCAAGAAAAGTATCAATAGTACTAAGTGCTTGCTAATTCAATAATAAAAATAAAAAGGAACAAACAATTTATTTGATTACTATATGATGCGTATCCTTTAATTTTGTATAGATTGTATTATATTTCTACACACTATATTAAATAATAAAATACAACTAATGTTTATTAAATTAATATGATACATTAGATCATAATTTTATAAGATTATTCTGTCAAATTTTATTATACTAGTTATAAAGTAATAAGGAAGGACAAGATGAAAGAAAAACATAAGGTAACAATACGCCCACACCAAATCGGTCGTTACATAAACTGACACTTTTCATCGTTATGTACATTGGATTTAACGATACTATACAATAAAATTTGAGTAATAATCTAAGCATTGTGTTTAAACTAATAATACAATACAATACAATAGGTAACAACCGTCCAAACAAACTATAACTGCCAATTTCACCTTTTCACCTACTAATCCATCTACAGATAGTTTTCCCGTAGTTGAATTTAGAACAACCAAAAATAAGGGATGGATACTCACCAGACTGAACGTACCAAGGAAGAAAGGTCCATCAACAAACTTGGAAAGAGCAGTCTCAATGGAATCAAATGCTGCAACTACACCAACAGCACATCTCAGACTTAAAGCTTCTACGTCAAAGCAAGTATGTAACTCTAAAGGAGATGAAACTTACTGGCATCATTTACTGTGTCTTCCTTGAAAGACGAAATTACAGCTTTGTAAAAGGAGTCAAAGTGGGAGAACATTTCTTCTGCGAATTCTCTCTTGGAAGGATCCTACAGAAGTTAGCACACAAGTTGTGAGACGGCAAAAGATGGAAAATCTCAAAGAAAATCCTATCAAGAACTTACATCTGGGAAAAGTGAAGGTCCTTCAAAGTTACTGTTGATATATCTAATTAGATCCATACTCTCTCCCTTAACTTCATTGTTGTGTTCCAGTGATGGTACCTATGACAGAAAAGAGTTAAGTTCTTGGAGCTGTCTTGGCACGGAAATGGCGGACCACATGCATCAGCATTCAGCACAACAAAGTGACAGTGAAGTGTAATGCAATGAAAAGGGTGTACATTTTGCCACCTTTATACCTTTGATCTATCAACTATTCAGTGATAAGATTTTCTTTCTTTTTTACTAAATTTCAGAGTTCACAATATGTAAACAAACTGATTGACAGGCACTTAGACCACTGAACAAATTTCAAATACAAATATACACACACAGAGAGACATAATTTGGTTTCAACTTATCATTTAGGATTCGATAAATTAGTTTGGTTGTAGATTTACTGTGCTAAAACAACAAGTGGACCAGCTTAATTCTACTATGGTTATTATGGACTGGGGAAACTTCAAAGGAAGGAGAGACTATAAACCCTTTGAATAACTGTCACCATTTATTTGGAAGAAAAATGCTAGTTTCACCTTATTTGCTGGATAAACCTTCTCCTTGTACCAATCTGGCCGGTTCTTTAGATCAATAGGAACCAACTTTATCTTTTCCTGCAACCCCTGATTCACATACAAGAATGTACATCACTAAGTTTATAGGTAAATGGAAGGAATTCAAGTACACACTAAATATAATGTTTAAGCAAATCCTAGATCAAGGATTGCTTACAGACCTTATAATTTCTAGCAATCCACGTACGTTGGGCATATGGGCATGTGTAAGAGATATAAAGCCTTCAACCAAGAAAATGAAGCAGAATAGATAAATTGACCATCACAAGAGATATATATATATAACATATTAGGTAAATTTCATTGTATGGTGACCGAATTTTATCGACTATAACAACAAAAGTCACATAACTAAGTTTTGTCACAGCTTTATTTGGTATAATAACAAATGCAAAAAATTGTACCTGCTATAACAGTGAAGTCACAAATCTTTATCTGCGGATAACAACAAAGTCACCTTAATGGGTAGGTCTTATCGTTATAGTTTCATTCACTTTAATCTAGTGATTAAAGTTTAGTTAATTTAATGCGACAAAAAGTAGTATAGTGACTGCACTGCTATAGTTGGTCAACAACAACAACAAAAAAAATCAGTAAAATCCTACAAGTGAAGTGGAGTCTGGGAAGGGTAATGTGTACGCAGACCTTACCCCTACCTTATGAAGGTAGAGAGACTGTTTCCGATAGACCCTTGGACCGTTATAGTTGGTCAACATGACAAAAAATAAGTTTGTAACTATACACACTGTAATAAGTTATCCACCATATTGTATACCTGATATAATGGTAAAGTCGCCCTGACGGGCAGGTTTTATCGTTACAGCTATAAAGTTCAACTTTATTGAACTGTTATAGTGTGTAAAGTTCATTACTTTGAAGTTCGGTGGCGGTGTTATAGTGGATAAAGTTCGGTGGCAATTTGTGAAATTAACCATATTATTTCCTACAAAGTAAAAGAATAAAAGCAAAAATCGCATCTGAGCCAAAAGAAAAAACAGCAGTAAAGTAAAGGCAACTAACTTGGGAGTTCCATCAAAGATAGCTGGTGGCTCTGAAGAGGAATCAAGGGCAGGAGGAAGCACCTCTCTGGAACTTCTGAGTCAAATAAGAAATTAAATGGTGAAACTAACAAACAAGCAGCGAATCCAATTGAAGCACCTCTTAATTAAAAGCCACAACTAAAGATCGAACTTAGAAGACAAAGGAGTAAGCAGAGTAGAAGAAATTACAGTTTAACAGTATAACTAGTTAATAGAAACTGTATTTTCTCTAATAACTTAAGCTTTTAGATGAAATGATCGCACACTTTAACATGATATCAGCGCATACAAAGGTCCTAGATTCGATTCTCAACACCACTCATTAATCATTATCACATGCTTGACCTATAAAAAAGAATCAGGTTAATTTATGTTCGGGCATACAACAACAACAACAACAAACCCAATGAAATCCCACAAAGTGGGGTCCGGTGAAGGTAGAGTGTACCTAGACCTTACACCTACCTCACGAAGGTAGAGAGATTGTTTCCGATAGACCCCGGCTCAAGAGGAAAAAGACTAAAAAGGAAGCAGAAACAACAAGTAGTAACCATAGCAAGCAAAGGTGATATAATAATCAAAGCAAAAGAAACGACATATAGTAAAAGAAATCTGCGTATACGAAGAAATGGGAATACGAGACTAACACTAATGATACCGGCATGAAAATAAGACACGCCCCGCTTAACCACTACCTTTCTACCCTAATTCTCAACATCCCTAACCTCCTATCAAGGGTCATATCATCAGTAAGCTAAAGTATGGCCATGTTGAGACATAATTAAGTAAATAAAATGTGAAATGAATTCCAGAAAACTTTGCAAAATAATGGAAAATGAGAACTACCCAAAAGCCATTACTGAAACAGCTGGTGGAGCACAGATTTTGGGGCACCCAATGTGATGCCATCTTAACGGGTGTTTAGCAGTAAAAGAGAGAGAACTGAATTTGGTCGGTAAAGGAAGAAGATTAGGAGGATTGAAATGGAAATGAATTTGATATCCAATGCTCAAAGCGGCCATTTCTACTTTCTTCTCCTTTGGGTTTTGTTCGGGAGAGGTGGTTCGTTAATCGTTAGTACGTTATATTATATCCTTTTAAAAAAAAGGATCAAATTTGCTTCTCTACAACACTATATATAATTAGGGGTCGGTTGGTTCCAAAAATTAGTTATTTTTGTATTATTTCTTATTCATTATTTGGTATATTGTGTTAATCCTGATTAGTGTTTTACTCTGTCAAGTATAAGTTATTCCGTACTATTTTAGTAACCAAGCATAGGATAAAACGATACTAAATTTCTATCCCAGAATTATTTATGTTTATCCATCACACCAAACGACTCCTAATTGAGCAACTTTGCACTCGGTTAAATTTTGTCTAATATTCTTTAGAAAAACTTTCATTTTTGTCCTTGATCTATCAAGCTAATTTTGAATCATAATTAAAAGTTGAGAAATAAATCTAAATTTTTATTCTCGAAAAATTAGATGGCATAGAGTTCTATCCATTTTTATGCTGGAGTTCTTTTAGTGGTAAAGGCAAATATGAAATAATTTGATAATAATAAGATTATGAATATGCTAAAAATGTAAAAGAAAAATAAAATATTTCGAATATTACACTTGCACTAAACAATTTTATATTTTTTCTCTTTTGAGAATATTTTTGAAAAATTAAACTCGTACTTTATATATCTTCACAATCATCTTTAACTCCTAATTTCATATCACTCATTTAACCAACTCTTACATATTACTATCAATCTATTTTAAAACTTTATCAAAATACTATCCAATTTGCTAATATTATTATCAATCTTCAACTAATAGTATATTTTTTTGAAAACTAATTTCCAATCAAACACTTAAAAATAAGTCATTTGTTAAAAAATATTTGTTTCATTAAGAAGACATATTTAGAATTCAAGTAAATATTCCGAAAATACCCCCAAATTCTATTATAGCACAAAAGATAAGGCAACCAAAGGACATTGAGCAATATTCCCTTATCTTCCAATCGAAATTCTCAAGCTTTCATCAATGGAGGCTACTTTCTTCACCTTACCCTCTTCAAACTCTCACTCCTACCCTTTCTCTCTCAAATCCCACTTCAACAACCCCCTCACCCTCCCCACCCACCCCCATTTCAAACCCAAGTCCAAAAATTTAACCATTCGTTCAGCTATTAGCCGAACCAAGAAAGAAGAAACAGTCGAAACTGTAAAACAACAGCTCGAAGATTGTTACCTTTTAGCTGGAATCAGTTACAAAGGCTTAACAGTCAAACAATTTCAAGAACTGAGATCTCAACTTCCTGATACTACAAAACTTCTCGTCGCTAAAAACACTTTAGTACTTAAAGCAATTGAAGGGACAAAATGGGAAGCGTTAAAGCCGTGTATGAAAGGAATGAATGCGTGGCTATTTGTACACAGTGAGGAAATTCCAGCTGCTTTAAAACCTTATAGAACATTCCAGAAGGAAAAGAAATTAGAGGATAATGATTTTACTGGTGCTGTTTTTGAAGGAAAGTTTTATGGACCTGAGGAATTTAAGGCACTTGAGACTTTACCTACTCGGGCTGAGATTTATTCACAGCTTCTTGGGTCTTTGAAAGGACCGGCTTCAGCTGTTGTTGGAACTATTCAAGCTCCAGCTAGGAATTTGGTTATGGTGCTTAAGGCCTATGTTAAGAAATTGGAGGAAGAAGGTGGAAATCAATAGTTTCGTTGTAATTTCTTGGATATGGTATGTTTGATGTTATGTTAATTTCATTCAAATTTTGAAATTTTGTTTGGACATGGAATTTTGTAAATTTGATATTTGGTAGATTGGTAATTGATTACTGCAATTTCTTCTGATTTGTGTTCTTATATTAGGTGGATAAATTTTGTTAGTTCATACATGTAGTTTCTGCACTTTCTATTATTATTGATCCAAGAAGATACTTTGTCTTCCTGCCTGAGCTCAGTATAAAGGGCAGCCCGGTGCACTAAGCTCCCGCTATGCGTGGGGTTCGGAGCCTAGCCGGACAACAAGAATGTATTGTAAGCAGTCTTACCTTGCATTTCTGCAAGAGTTTGTTTCCACGGCTCGAACATGTGACCTCCTGGTCACGTGGCAACAACTTTACCAGTTACGCCAAGACTCCCCTTCTCCCGCTCCAGCTCAACATATTTGTTAGGGAAAGGCTTGACCATATTGTGTTTATTGTAGATGACCTTAGCTTGCATTTTTGCAAGAGGCTGTTTCCATTGTTTGTCGCCAACTCTTAAGATTGCACAAATCTCCCCTTCCATTATTGTCAAATAGAAGAGTAAAATATTTTTAAAGAAAAAGAGTGTTCCTACCAAGCTATTGTGAGATGCAGCTTCTACTTTGTAATTGAAAAGGCTGAATCATCTCGCTTTGGCGCACAATCCTTTCCTCCTCTTTTCCATTTCCAGCATTTCAAGAGTAGCTTTTAGTTTTGTGTGCCTATAATACGGTGGATAATTTCTCTTTAAAATAAGTTGTGCCTTTTGGTTGAGGAAAGGATATATTAGTTTCTGTGGTAGATGAAGAACATTCTTTTAGAACTTCAGTGTTGTTTTCTGGAATTAGTTAAAGGTCTCTTAGTTTGGGATATCATTAGGAGGAAAAGAGAGCACTGTGTTTATCTGGTGCATTAAGCCATCCGGTTTTGAATGAGTGAGCAAAATCTGAGTTTTTTTCTATGTCAAAGCATGCCTTTACTTCTTCTTTAGAAAAGCTACGTCCTTTGGAGGCTCGGGGGATTAGGATTCTCTAGATTTTTGAGCAAATGTGTTAGCGGAATGGTTTTCAGTAAGTGAAGGAACTTCTAGTTTAATTCTATGTCAGAGCGAACCTGATCATTGTTGAGAAAAAGCAGTATCTGTTCAAGCTTTGGAAAGTTGGATTCTGCTATATGGTTGCGCAGATAGGCATCAGGTTTATTATTGCAAGCCAAAATTTGATAACTGTGCCTTGTTTTTATGTTTAGACATGACAAAGTAGTAGGCGTACAAGGACAATTTACCGTTCCTGATCATGCCAAAGATTTACATCCTCGCTACATATTGGGACCTTCGGATTCTATGAGATGCACAGTTCTACTGATGGTCCGCAGATAAGAGAGGGTAAGATTATTCACTCATAATGTGAAGAAAAGGGACTAATCACAAGTTATTACTTTGAATCATTCTGATGTTACTGTAAGAAATCAGCATAAGCAAAGGCCTAGTCTGAAATGGTGATGAATAGATGTTACCTTTGCAGTATGCTGCTTGTTTTTTTAGCTTTAAAAAAGGCAACCCGGTGCACAAGGCATCCCGCTTTCACATAGGGTCCGGGGAAGGGCCGCACCCCAAAGGGTGTGATGTAGACAACCTACCCTAATGCAAGCATTAGTGGCTGCTTCCGGGGCTTGAACCCGTGACTTATAAATCACATGGAGACAACTTTACTGTTGCCCCAAGACTCCGTTTCAAAAAAATGGAAAAACAAGAAAATGTTGATGACCATAGGTTTGGCCAACCTTTACAATATGAGCTCTTCTTTTACTGCTCCTCTGCAACAACAGAAATTTGATGTCTCAGCTAATATATATATATATATATATATATATATATATATATATATATATATATATATATATATGTTAAGATTTCTCCTCTACTGCTACCAACTATCAGTTCTGCCTTCACTTGAAAATGATTGAACTTTCTGTTTTTCCTTGAAAAATAGTACAGTTTCTGCGTTGGTGGTAGGTGCAAATTCATGTACATCTTTTTTTCCCCCCTGTTTCTAACTTTCTAACTGCCAGGTTCCTTTGCTGGTTCTTGTTTGACTTGCCATTCTTGTACCATATTCTGTTTTAACTTTCATCTCAGCATATATTTGTGTTATGAATATAATTTTTGACAACTTCTCCAGAGTTCCAATATCTTTCTGAGCCGAGGGTCTTCCGGAAATAGCCTCTTTGCCTTATTAAAGGTAGGGGTAAGGTCTGCGTACACACTACCCTCCCCAGACCTCACTTGTGGTATTAGGCTAGGTCTATTGTTGTTGTTGTTGTTGTTGTCTCTAGAGTTCGTATCCCTAACGTTTACTCGCCAAGCATGTTGCATGAACTCCTGTGTATCTCATGAACATTTTGTATGTGCAGAAGGATGAAAATTCTTTGTGCCAATCTAACTTATTAGATGAATGGCAGGCTCCCTCTACATATGATGATAACGAGTTAAAACCAAGAATTTGAGAGGATATGTAAACTAAAACTAATTATTCTGAAGCTCTGAACAGGGGTGTTGATTTTAATACTCCCTGCGGTCCAAAATAAGTGATTTTTTGGCCTTTTCTTTGTGGTTCAAAATAAGTAATTTTTCCAGATTTCAAGAATTAATTAATTATTTTTTTCCTACATTGCCCTTGGAGTAAATAGTGTTGAAGTATGTGTTAGGAGTATTTATGTGAAGAGATAGTAAAGGTTAATTTGATCAATTTCATTGCTAATTAATGTTAAAAGGTGAATTTCTTAATCTGTGTGAAAACAACTAAAAAATCACTTATTTTGGACCGGAAGGAGTATATTATAATGACATTTATGCTCCAGTAGAAAAAAAATCTTAATTTTAACATTTGTTATACTTTGTAGTTAGCAAATTATCTCGTATTTGCCATTGTCTTTAACAGAGCTCTAATGTGAACTACCTAGATTCCCCATGTCAAGACATTTTGGGTAATTCTAGACAAAAATAGTTAGTGTGATTAAACTACCATCAATTAAATATTGTAGCATAATGTGAGGAGTAAAAGACTTTTTAGGGATATGTACATAAGGGTAATTTTGAAAAAATAAATTAAATTTTTTCTTGATTATATAAATGGACACTTATTTTGGACCAAAATAAAAAGGTAATTGGTCACTTATTGTGAACACAAGATATTATCAATATAAAATAAATCTGTTGAACATCTAGACAGTTGAGATTTTATTCGCCCTCGGCTGAAAAGAGAAATACCAAAGAAAAAAAAACCACACAAATCACTCACATCCCCAATTCAATTTGAATCACCAAATTTGTCTCTACGATTGCATATTTGGAAAAAGAAACTTCTAACTAATATGCATATATCTGGAAATCTCAAATTAAATGTTGTACCTAATTTATGACTCTACATACGTTAAAACATAATACTACTGCATACTTAGTAGGCGTTTAGACATAAAACATATGAGATAATGAAAAAAGTATTTTTCGAAGTTAAGTTGAAAAAAAGTATTTAAAAATTAAAATTCTGTTTGAATATTCATTTCACTTGAGAAATATTGGAAAAACATTATTTCCTTGAAAAAAGGTAAACCTGAAACTCATCTTCAAAAATTTTTAAAACTCATCTTAAAAAATTCAATCCAATGTATAATATTTTAAAAATGAGTTTCGGAAAAAAAAAAAAAAGATTTGTTATGGACAAACGAGTCATACAATTTTGCTTTATATTTTAAAAAGAGTTTAAAAGTGAATGTGTTCAACATACCACGGATAATAAGAAACTACACAAAAATATAATAAAATTGCATCTTTTTATATTAAGAATATTTAAATAAATAATGCATAAAAGGTTGTAGTAAGAAAAATTTATTTAACTTCTTAAATAGTAATAATACCATATAAAGTATAAAAAATATATAATAAACTTATATTTCTCTTTCAAGTTCCCGAAGCTTGATTTTCACACTATTCTCCATTGTTGTGAATTGTAAAATATACGAGTTTATGTTTTATACATAAAAAAAAATCATTTATTAGATAATTACAATGTTTTTGCAAATAATTTAAATTCAATATTATTTACTTTTAAGAACAGTTAATATTAAGAACAAAGTAAAGAAAAAATAATTGGTTATATCTTAATTTTCTAAATAATAAATATTTTGGACCATTTATTTTTAATAACCACGGTAATTAAAATGGCAGGAGTATTTGTTAACAATGTCTGTGCAAATAATTTAAACTCAAAAATGTATAGTATTACGGAATTTCAATATATCATAGTGATAGTAGCCTATATTATACGATGTAGATGCTATTTATGCTCGAAGTTAACCATACTTTATTGATGTTTTAAGTGCTAAATGATAACAAAATGCTCTAATTGAGGTTTTTGTGCTTTGCAGGAGCAAGTGTTGATTATGAGGACATTGAACAACTTTTGGAGCTAATTTGGAGCAAGGAAAACCACTCGGAGGTGAATGCGCGTGAAAGAAGAAGGAGAAAAGTAGAAAACAGCTGAACCTCATGAGCGCGGGCGCGCTTCAGCCGCGCTAGTCCAGGCAGAATAGAATGCGATATGCGCGGTCCAAGCGCGACCGCGCTCGTCAATTCGCTGAACCTTATTTCCAGGGGTAATTTCGTAAGTTCGAAGGCAACTCTCCTTAACATATAAGAAGCCCAAGTCGCCAAAGAGAGGGTATCAAGGTTTTACTAGTTTTGTTGGAGGCAAGAACAAGTGTGACAAGATCAAGACACCATTAGAGCTTTTCATTCCTCTTCTTGTTATCATTATTTTGTGAATTATGAATGATTTTATGGTTTTATCTTGTTTTACCATGAGTAGCTAAACATTTAATCTAGGGTTGATGGAACCAATTGTGAGATCAACTTTTGACTCAATTTTGTTATAAATCGAGCCGGGTTTATTATATGATTGTTCAACTATGTTTTGTATGGTGATTAATTGAATGGGCCCTTGATTAATCGTGTCTAATAGCCTTGTGTTGCTTGAAAAAGAATACTAGGTTGGATTGTTGAACAACACCACTTTTGGGTAATTGAAGAGATTCATTACTTGAATTTAA